ACTGGTCAATTGACCAAACTTTATTTGATTGATCCAATACCCAACCCTAAGCAATACAAGACCATTTGCACATATTCAGCTGGCCTTATAGCATCATGGACCTTTGACGAAAAGATGACTCTTTACTACAAGGTCGTTGCACATTTATTTTTTCTTAAAAGAAGCCAAAAGAGATGTTTTAGACCTGGGAAAGGAAATGGCTGTAGGCAACTTGGAAACCAGAGCTCACTGTACTTCTTAGCCACTAGATGAAATGTAAAACGCTAGAACTCTTGGTTCAGAGACGATACCTTTTATTAGATCGACTCAGAAATGGCAAAAAAAATCATTTTTCTTTGCAAGCTTTCAGGCTCACATGCCTTTCCTCAGGCTTAGGGAAAATTAAAGAGGTACACGTCCCTAAGCCTGAGGAAGGGTGCATGAGCCCAAAAGCTTGCAAAAAAGATAATTTTTTGTGATTTCTTAGTTGGTCTAATGAAAGGTATCATCTCTGGACCAGGAGTTTTAAAGTTTTGCATTTCTTTTTGTCTCAGACCAACACAGCTACCAAATACACCCCCCAGCCGCTAGATGGCACTCGTGTCTGTAGATTGGAAGTCTATTATTGGCCAATATGATACTTCCAATCCAGTAATAATTAGCTGGTGAAAAGAACAACCTCGTTCATCAGACTCTCCCGGGGCTGGATGTCAAACCACTAACTGCACATATTTAGGGGCATTTGGATCTGGTGTTTGAACTGACCACCGTTTGCTAAAGACGTACAAAACATTATTACTATTACTGATTCATGTAGGGGTGCTGGGAAACTTAGACCTGAACACAACACCTCTTCTGACCATTGAAATGCAGGGGTTTTAATTGGGTCCATTTTTATTCTGCGGCGGAGGAGGCGAGGGGAAGAAATGGAAAATAGGGAGCCTGGCTCCTTCAGGGCTCTCTGCTAATGCGAGACAAGCCCGTGATTCAGCACAACATGCTATTAAATATTCCTGTCTTTGGTGGCAAGAGAGCTGAACCTTTGCAGGTAGAGTATCTCAGGGAAATAAATGCTGCAGCAATTGGCACGATTCTCGAAAACTTCAGTCGCTCTGTCTCAAGTCGATATCTTTGTTGTGTTTCCAGAACCGTCATTTTCCCTTGCATTGTCTTCACATCGTTCTCTGCTAATTCTGTTTTTTTTTCTCTCTCTCTAGTTCAAAAATCTATAAAGATACCAAATCCAATTTATTGCCGATGAAGGCAATCAAAATTTCAAGTCTCTAATTGGAGCAAGAATAATTCTAATGAAATCTAAGACAGGAGCTTGGAATTGGAAAGTTTAGCTGCAAATGGAAAAGCTGATAACAACCAAACACATCTTGGTCCACAAAGCAGAGACAATTAGCATCTATCTGCACTTCATTCTGCAAGACCCCATTGCGCAGACACGTACAGGAATCAGCAACAGCGGTAGGCCCGCTGCTATTCAGACGAACGAATCTGTATCAAAAGACTTCCAAAGGATTCCCAATTCTGCAAGTGCTGCAGCAGGATATAAGTCTACTCATCTTTCTGTGGGTATCCATGCAGCGAGGATGTAGGGCTGAACTTTTAGGTGACTTTAGATGTCTGTATATCTTTAAAACTCTGGTGCACGATCAGCACCGATGTACCGGCCTAGAGAATCTCAGTGACAGGCGCTCCTAGCAAAGCGGGGATGCAGGACACGCATCTTTGAGCCATAAATGAACCAGTTGACCCTGCAAACTGGCCCAAATTGCATCTCCCATGAAATGAATGGCACACCCACCTGTGAAGCAGACCAGAAACTGTGCTCCATCCTTCCTTTTTCATTTCAGGATTTGGGTGCTTTTCATTTGGACCTTTTTTTTTTTTATGGTTATGATTTCAACCAGGAATAATTTTGGTGTGCGTGTGGATTATTGCTTGTCTTGCCGTTCGGGATGATGCTGGAAGCAAGTGCAGGACAGACTGAACTTTATGAGATTTGAAGGTTTTCGCTTTGCCCTTATTTCATCTTGCTACCAAAGATCGACTTTATTTATATATGCATACCTCCTTCAAATCAGCCTGAAGAATGAGATACATCGGTATATTAGAAGCTAACCTCAGAGTGGGTATAATTACCGGTGCCCTATCCCAGGAAGTGGATAAAAAGCTTATGACAATGTGTACTGCATTAAGGAGCCTTCTCTTATGAATGTTTCATAGCAGCTCTTTTGTGTTAAGGGCCTGATCCTGAAGGAGGCTGAGTGCCCCTAGCTCCTGCTAGTGTCGGACAGACCTGACTGCTGGTGCTTAGCACGTGGGAGAATCAGGCTCTAACCATCCTTAGCAGCGTGCATGGCACTGGCAAGCACTGATAAGATCCTCTGCTTTAGCTTTCCAAAGCCTGAATGATTTATGGACAGGAACTAGGTCTAAAGCGTATTCATAATTGATGCGGCTCTTTTGCTATGCACCCTAGAAAATGAAGAAACGGGGTTCAAATAAGCCTGGCTATTTTTTTATTTTTTTTTGGTTATGTTTTAGGTGAAGTGGCAACCACCTCTTCGGGCTTTCCCACCAGGCTGCAAACCAGTGGCTCTCGACAAGGATGCCGCAGCACCTTGGGGTGCCTTGAGATCCTGTCAAGGATGCTCTGGGGTGCTATGCGGTGCTAGCATTGTTAGGTTTGCAAACACAATTCACAGGATAGACCCAGAGGGTTCAAGCACAGATCCATAGCATTAAATATTTTCTGACCTGTGCGGTCTTTGAAGCAAAAAAACCCTGCTCTTATTTTTCCATAGTCAAAAAGTGAGTGAAAACTAAGACCTAGCATTTTCCAAGGGGGAGTCTCAAATCCAAAAGAGTTTGATAACCACTGCCCAAACTATCGTTATATCCAGTCAAAGAGACCAGCGATGTTTGTCCCTGTCCATAGAGGTCACAATATTTAATAAAAAATGAGACCCAGATCTCTCCAGCCCACCAAGCTGAATAACCTGCAGGTATTCCTACCCCCATTCAGCTTGGCTGATGTAGACACTCTCAGTCCCTTACTTCTTTAATTGGGCCAAACTAATCAGTCTAGTTGCCCTCCTGTTTAAAGTAGGGGCTGTCTAGTTACAGCCAGACACAAAAGCCACGCTCCAGCTTGCAACCTTCTTGTAACCAAGTGAAGTGACAATGGGAGCTGGGCTCCTTGCCTTGGGTGTAGCAGGATGGCATCCAGCACTTTAGCTTTGGAAAGCTAAAATTAATGAATGGGAGGAGCAAGTAATGCTTCCCCTCCTGATTGTTTTGTGACTTAATTACATTAGCATTTAAATAGCTAGGGCTAATGCTTGAAGTCAGCACTTCATTACAGCGAGGAGGTTGGAGACAGGAGCAGAATTCACATATTTCCCTTTTTTTTGCTGGTAGAGCTCCAGACAATTCCCTACAAGACGGGGTTAAGTAAAGGGCTTGTCTAGGAATTCACACTGAAGTAAGGACAGGGATGCAGCAGCACCAGTGCAAACCTCTTATGCAAATAGGTGTCATTTATTATTCAGCACCGTGTGTACAAGAGGGAAATTTCCATGGGCATCGCTACCTAAGTAAATACTCAAAACATTTGCAAAATTTCCCTCATCTTGATATGCCCTGAAATGACCGGATATCAAATATGCCAAGGTTTGTTGTCTTTAGGAAAATCTGCATAAAATATACAAAAGAAGAATCACCAGCTTCTCTCCAGTCCCCGGCGACTACAATTCTGCAGCGAGACCGACTGAATGGTCCTGCAGACTTTTCCATAGGCAGGCTCTTCAAATCTTAGCAAAAATAATTGAAATCGCAGTGCGTGCAGTCGTTATTTTTCATGCACGCTGAATTCAAAACATGCCGGATTCTTGTCAGTAATAAAAAGGCACAACCAGTGCTCCAAAGACGTTGCAATCTGCTGTACTTACCTGAATCTAAGACGACTTTGAATTGAAGATGACCCCCAATCGTTAGAGTCTATGGCACTTACCCTCCATGGTGTCTGCCCCCCACCCAGCACCTTCCCCCTGCCAACTGACCCCCCCTGCAGCTCTTGTGCCCCTCCTGCCACCACTTCCCTGCAGTCCTGGCTCTGGCCCCTCTCGGTGCCAGGGCACGGAGCACATGGTGGCTCCAGCCCCTGCCCAGACAGGTAGCCACATTTGCGGCAGTGCCAGCTCTGGGCCCGGCCCCAGGACTGGGTTGGAGCTGGGGTCAGAGCCAGAACTGCTGCCACTGCTGTGTCCAGACCAAAGCAGGGCCAGAGGGTAAGTGGTGGTGGGAGAGAGGGACGCGGAGGCAGCGGTGGGTGGGGAGAGCAGCAGCCACGGTGGGCAGGAGTAGGTGGCTAGCAGGACCTTCCCTTCCTTCCCCAAGAGGCGGACAGGTTTGCCTGTCTTGGGAGAGAAATCATGGCTTAATGAGCTGGCCTAGCTTCCTAGGAGCCCAGAGGCCCAGAGCTGCCCCTCCGCATGCAGCAGGACACCCCGTGACTCACTGGGCTGCTCTGTGGGTGCGAAGACGGTGACAAGAGCCTCCTCCCAGTCCCACCGCCGTTCCAGCAGATACAAATGCAGCGCTCCACCTGCCTGCCCTCGGGAGAAATGATTGACATGTATTTCCACTAAAGGACTGACAAACAGGACTTTTTGCAGTCCGTTCCTCATTCAGGAATGGACAGGGGACAAGGGGTTGGTTTAAAAACAGGACAGTTTGGTATAAAACAGGACCAATGCCCACCCTCGGCAGAAAGCAGGGGGGTCTGCAGTTGCAGCTCGGACCCCAAGCCCGAGTCAGGGCTGGAGCTGGGGCTGGACTCCAAGAGGAAGGGCTTTCCCCCCATGTTTAAAAGGGAAACAAAACTCATAGTAAATACGGTAATTTTACATCTGAAATCATGAGTAGGAATAGCAAATAACTCAATCAACTTTAGTATGTGCCCATCTTGATAATCCCATTAAATGTAATTAAAACAGACTCTAGGGGCCAGAGTTTACTCCACCTATTAGACACCAAATGGACTTGGGTGCTCAGGTGTAACTCTAATTCCATCTGGCTCAAACCCTTGGAAAACAGTGATACAGTGAATAAAGAAAGGTGGGTGGGTCCTCTTCCTTCTTGCTGCTTTTTTGTGACTGTTTTAAGGCAAAGAGGATAGAATGACAGGAGCTGCTGCATTAATGACATTTCAGGGACTTGAGCAGGGTGGAATAGGATCACACGTAATAGTGCTTAATAGTTGTGGTAGGATCTGATTGCAGACAGGCCAAGCTGGTGAAGTGTGGTGGGAACCTGAGAAAGAAAAAAGAAATTCAGAGCAGGACCCACTTTATACCAGGAGAGCCATTTTTCACTAGTGTAAAACCTATCAGTATAGATCAGTCTGCAAACCTGGGGGCCACACTGCTTATCTGAGGCCAAGCGGCAAATTGCTTCTCTCTTCAACACATTAGCTTTAACCTGAACACAGCAGGCTGGGAATGTGGTGTTCCCTTTGATCAGTAAAGACATTTTCATTTAATCTTTGTTTCTGGAAGAACTGGGGTTATTTAGCTTGAAAAAAAAGAGGACTGGGGTGGGGTCTGGTAACAGTCTTCAAATACCTGAAGAGGATGGTGGTAGACCAGTGGTTCTCAACATCATTAAATCTGAGACACTTGTCTTTATGCTCAGGACACCCATGGAAAATGCCAGCTCTTCGTTTTCACTTGTTTTTGACTACAGAAAAATGCTAGAGCACTTCTTCTGTTGCAAAGAGCTCAGAAAGGCCACGACGGGGCAGATCCTTTTAAAACAATGAATTCCTGTTTGAAATGCCATGCACAAATCTAGAGCTCTTGGTTCAGAAATGATACCTTGTATTAGACCAAGTAGGAAACTGCAAAAACATTCTCTTTATCTGCAATCAGGACCCGTAGTAGACTCTTTTTCTGCAAGCTTTTGGGCTCAAACGCCCTTCATCAGGCTCTGGGAAAATTAAAGAGGGTAAAAAGTTTTCATATTTGAAATGTCGGCGTTTATCTCGTGAATCGTGTTTGCACCCCTAGCAGTGCTAACTTTATGTGGCATCCCATGGCACCCTTGAAAGGTTATCAAGGTACCCCGGGTTACTGCTGCGCCCTGGTAGAGAATCACTGTGGTAGACTATTCTCTGTGGATGCAGGTGACCAGATAAGCGATAATGATTTTAAACTGCAACAAAGGAAATGTAGGTTGGAGATTAGAAAGGACTTTCTCACTACACGGGTGCTTACGCATTGCAACAGGCTACCTAGAAAGGTGGTGAAATCTCCGTCCTTAATTTTTTTTTAAGTGCAGGTTAGACACGTCTCTGGGATAGTTTAGTCTGGGGAGATCCTGCCCTGAGCAGGGGTCCGGACTGGATGGCCTGTTCCCTTCCAGCTCCATTTTTCTATGAATGTGGTTTCTTGATTGGAATGGATCTGCTTTACATTTTTGCCTCTGATAAAGTGGAAAAAAGACCAGTCAAGACACTTATGGTTATTCAAGATGCCATGGCATTTTTTATCAATTACGTGGATGCCATTCTCCGTGTCAGTTAAATGCCAGCTTGAAAGTTGATACCTTTTATTAAACCAACAGAAATAGCAAAAAAAAATATTTTTTTAATGATATTTTTGTGTTTGGTCTACTTGGACAAGCTGCTTTTCAAGTCAGAGGTGAAGCGCTATATCTTACCTGAAGACACACAAAAAACTAGAACTCTTGGTTCCAAAATGATACCTGGGAAATCACAAGAAAATTGTCCTTTTCTGCAAGCTTTTGGGATCAAAGTCCGGAGGCTTCTGTTCTCTCTGATGAAAGAGGCACCTCCCAGTAAATCTGACCTTAAAACCAAACGCAACTCTGCGTCTCCGAGTTTTTATTGCCATCACAAGACGGCTTTACCCATGACTTCCATGTGGGGAACATTTGATGGGGAAATGTAGGAACTTTGCAGACCTCCTTGAAAACTTCGCTCCTGGCTGCAGGTGGAGAGTTTGTGTTTGAAACAAATAAATCTTGCTAAATAATCATACAAGCAACATTTAGTACTCTGCACTATGCGTGCAACCTGCTGTGCTCGGGGAAGGAAGCACCTCCCTACCATCCTCTCTTGAGCGATGAGGCCAGACCCTACAACTCCTGACCTCCCTCTTCTGCCAGCCCCTCCAACAACCATCTTTCCTTATCAGAACCGGGGAACAAGACTCTGCCTTTCTAAGGATCTGCTGATAATGGCCCCCTCATTGTCTGAGTGCCTCCCCACCCTTCAAAATCAGAAGAAAAAAACACATTTTCTGTCATTGTGAGAGCCTGATTAATTTACAAGGCACTGAGGAGAAATGATATCTTTTATTAGACCAACAAGATATTTGCAAACATTTCTTGAATTAATTGCAAGCTTTCTGGCACAAACACCCTTCCTCAGGCATGAGAGAAAAGATTGTAAAAGTTCTCCTAGGTAGAAATGAAAGTTCATAATTCATCGGGTTTCACAAAAGAGTCAAAAAAGCTTGCAATTAAAGAATTTTTTTTTGCAAAAATCTGGTTGGTCTAATAAAAGAGATCATCTCGACTACGAGTCCTGAGTGCCTTTTCCTCTAGACCAATACGGCTACAACCCGGATACCCGATTCATTTACAGACTTGATTGTCTGCTGCTGTGTTCCAGGTTTTGTGGGCTGGCACCGACGGAGGGGGGAAGAAACGGGTTCGTTTCATCTAGGATGGGGGTTCGTGTGGATGCTCTGAGCAGCCAGCACTGCCCTCCTCCCAAAACCAAGCAGGATCCTTATCATCAGGGATCCTGGTTTTCCCTGGTTTAAAAAAAAAAAAAAACCCTAATTTTTGGTTTAAAAAAAAAAGTAACCCCAAATCCACCTTTTTCCATGATTTTAATGAAGCACCTCTATATACACATCTATTAGTGGTGTTCCGTGGGGAAAACAGTGGATTTGGGGTTACTTTGTTATCAGGTCTCACACCTTTTTCCATTATTTTAATGAAGCACCCCTATATACACGTCTCTATTAGTGGTGTTTCATTTACATCCGTGGGGAAAACGGTGGATTTGGGGTTACTTTGTTATCAGGTCTCATCCCAGCATCCGCAGATCACCGCTCCCTGCCTCAGTGCCGACCTGCCGGGGGACTTGCCCGAGGCCATGTGGCGAGTCGGTGGCGGAGCCTGCAAGGCTGCCGCGCCTGGGAAGGGGACCCTGCTCCCCTGGCCTGGGGGCCCCCCCGCCTCTGGCAACACGTCACAGGGATCCTGGTTTTCTCTGATTTAAAAAAAAAAAAAATTGGTAAAAAAAAAAAAAAAAAG